AAAACTAATATAAAATAAGTAAAATGAAACAAAATAAGTAAAATAAAAAAATGAAATAAAATGAAAAAAATAAACAAAAAATAAAATTAAATCAAATAAAAAAAGTTTAAAAAATATAAAATAAAATAAAAAAATTAAACAACATTGGATTAACTAAGTGAAAATAAAATAAAATAAAATACAAAAAATAAAGTAAATTCAAAAAAAAGATAAAATAATATAATAAAACTGAAATGAAATAATATAAAATAAATTAAAAAAATTAAATAAATGAAAAAAGAAAACATAAAATAAAATAAGTAAAAATAAAATAAAGAAAATAAAATAAATCTATATAAGATAAATTAAAAGAATTTAATTTAATTAAATAAATAAAAATATAATAAACCAAAAAAAATTAAATTAAATAAGTAAAAATTAAGCAAAATAAAATAATATAGGATTAGAGAAAATTTAAATTAAAATAAATTAAATAAGTAGAAATAAAATAATATAAAATATAAACTATAATAAAATAAAATAAAATAAATAAAGTAACTAAAAAACAAAAAGGAATAAAATAAAATAAAAAGCAAAAATTAAATACAATAGAAGGAAAAATTTAAAATAAAAAAAAGAAAAATAAAAAATACATAAAAATGAAAAAAAGAAAACATAAAGTAAGGCCATATAAAATGAAAAAATTTCATTTAATTAAATAAGTAAAAATAAAATAATATAAAACTAAATATAAAAAAGTAATAAACTAGAATAGGTAATATTCAAACAAAATAAAATTAAATCAAATAAGAAAAAAATAAAATAAATAAAGTAACTAAAAAACAAAAAGACATAAAATAGAAAAAAAGAAACTAAAACAAAAAAAATGAAAAATAAAATAAAATAAAAAGACATAAGAAGAAAAAAATTAAATAAATTGAAATACATTAAAATGACAAAAGAAAAAAGAAAATAAAGCCATATAAAATAATAAAACTTAATTTAATTAAATAAGTAAAAATAAAACATAATAAAACTAAATATAAAAAAGTAATATAAAATAGAATAGGTAATATTCAAATGAAAAAATTAAATTAAAGAAGAAAAAATAAAATAAAGTAATATAAGAAATAAAATAAAATTAAAAAAATGAATATATAAAAAAATAAGTAATAAATTAAACATAATTAAATTAAACTAAATTAAAAAATAAATCATAATGAAATAAAGTAAAATAAAATTAAATTAAATAATTTAAGTAACTAAAATACAAAAAACAAAAAAATAAAAGAGACCAAAACAAAATAATATGAAAAAATAAAAAAAAAAAACAAACAGTTAAGCACAATAGAAGAAAAAAAATTAAAATAAAATAAAATAAAAAATGATACAGTTGAATACAATAGAAAAAAAAGAAAATAAAATAAAAAAATTAAAATTTAAATAATAAAAACTAAAATAAAAACTAGAATAAAACAAAATAAAATAAAATAATACAAAATAAATTAATTAAATTTAAATTAAATATATTTTATAAAAAAATAAATCAAAATAAATAAATATTGAAATAAAATGAAAAAAAAGAAAGAATATAATAAAACACTATAAAATAGAATAAAATAAAAGAAAGTAAAAGAAAGTAGAATAAAATAAATAAAATAAATAAAATAAAATGATATATTCTTAAATATTAAAAGAAAACAAGAATTAAAAATATAAATAAAATCATCAGAGTTTTGCATTAAGAAACGTTTGAAGACTAAAAGTTCATACATAATGATTGATCCTCAGTAACGCGAAGTATATTTCGAACCCTAACCAGAAAAACATCCATAATAGAAAACTTTTTTCTAAATGCCGTCGACTATCGGCAGGAAATGTCAATCCCTCGGTTGGTATTTCTGGCATGAAGCGAATAGTTTCTTATAGAAGTATTTTTTGACATAAGAGAAGGTTGTAAGCGCGAAACATTAATTATTTATGTCGAATAAGGAGAACCAATCCAAGAACAAAGTGCGTTTTCTAATATTTATTTAGTCACATCTTTAAAACAAATTACATCATCTGAAGCTCTTTATTACATAAGAGTTCTCTAATGTGATTTCTTTTTATAATAAATATTGTTTTTCGCTCTAAGTTTTTAGTGAGCTATTTGTTTATATGATGATGAGAAAATGGAGTTCTCCTGGTTAAAGGGTTAAAAATTCATTTTTACGAAACAACATATCATATCTCATCGAGTATTTTACGTTCTCCATACTCGTCCAGCTATCAAAAATATTATTTGCTTTGCAAAATTCCAAATTCAAATAAAGACATAGCAAAGTTGAAAGCTAATAATAAAAATCATATATTATTTTATTGACGAGCAGTATATGACGCTGATAGTTTTTAGCACTCGTAAAATTTAAGCGTTGCACATAAAGTTTCATTTAAAAGTCAATTACAATCAGCACTGGCAACTACTGCTGAATTATAACTTACATACATATATATAAATATGTATGTGTGCGTATACGCATGCTTTGTTGAATTTGCTCAACACACACAACTTTTTTTTAATTTGTTTTTGAATAAAATCCATTAAAATGAAATTTTTACAACTTTTTGACAAAAGATGTATGAATTTCAAGAGTTGTAAATATTAGTAAATAGTTATTTTTTTACAAAAACACCAACAAATTTCCTTAAACATGAAAGAAAAATATGAGCTTTATAGCTTTGTGATTGCCCAAAGTTTTTTTTTCAGCAAGGAAAAAGCTATGAAAATTTGTTTTTGATATTGTTGTTGTTGCATTAAAAGTGTTTTTTCTTTCGGAGTTTGTTTTTGTAAGATTAAGAGCTTAATCAATCTTAGGAAAGCAATTATTATGCGCCACAAGAGCGCGCTGTGTGTGTTTGTCAGCACGCACATATATAAATATGTACATTGACAAACATGTAGTATACAGTAATGTATATAAGCGCATGTTTATAATCAAATCGTTATAAAAAACCAAGCACTTGACGGCGGCTTGATTTGTGTGGTGATTCGCGTTTTTAATTACATATAAGCACATACACACACACACACAGCTAGTCATAAACAAGTAAGTATAAACAAATGTTTGCGATCATAGTATTATAAATGATATATAAAAACTCAAGCAAATTACACTTTGACTTTGAATTGTGAAAGAAGTGAAAGCAAGTTTGTCGCTTAAGTCTTTCGTTTTATTTTCGTGGTGGAGCTACAAAAACCAAAAGAGTACCTACATTTATATAAATATATACCAGTATGTACATACAGTTATATGCATATAAGTGAATATTTGAGTGTTTTGGCTAAAAATAAATAAATTAGCATTTCCTTTTCGCTCTTTTTTTCTACAATAAATGCTGAAATTAATAATTAAATGAATAAAAGAAATCGGTAAAATAATAGAGAAAAAAGATAAAAGGATATAAAACAAAATAAATAAAATAAAAATGAATGATATAAAAAATTAGTAAATAAAATAAAATAAAAAATGAAGTAACTTAAATTGAAGAAAGTGAAATAAAATAGAAAAAAATAAAACAAAATGAAATACAATAAAAACATTTGAATAAAATTAAACAAAAAATCATCAAATGGACACAAAATGAAATGATATAAAGAAAATAAAAGAAGAAAAATGAAAATAATTGAAATACAAAAAAAAAAAACAAATAAAAGCAGCTGAATTAAAAAAAATAGAAAAAATGAAATAAAAAAATTAATTAAAAAAAATAAAGTAATAGAAATTAAATTAGAATAAATAAAATAAAAGAATTAAATAATGAATTAAATCAAAAGACTAAATAAAATATATTAAAATTAAAATAGAATAAAAAATAAAGTAACAAAGATAAAAAAATAAACTAAACTAAAATAAAATAAATAAAAAAATAGAATAAATAAACAAAATAAATAAAGTAACTAAAATCCAAAAAAAAAAATTAAATAAAAAAAATTTAAATAACGAATAAAAAATTAAATCGAAACAAAATAATATGGAATAAAAATTAAAATAGAATAAAAAATAAAATAAAATAGTACAAAAAAATTAAATATACTAAAATAGAATAAACTAAAATAAAATAATATAGCATAAAATAAATAAAAATAAAATAGAATAAAAAATAAATTAACTAAAATACAAAAAATTAAAAATAAAATAAATAAAACGAAAATGAAAAAAAATAAAATAAACCAAAAGAATACAAAATGAAAAAATAAATTAATTAAAATAACTTAAAATAAAATAAACTGAAATAGAAAAAATTAAAATAAAATAATGAAAATAGAATGAATTAAAATAAAATAGTATAAAAAATAAAGTAACTAAAATACTAAAATTTAAAAAAAAAAAAAAATAAAATAAAATAAAATAGAATAAAATAAAATAAAATAAAACAAAATAAAATAAAATAAAATAAAATAAAATAAAATAAAATAAAATAAAATAAAATAAAATAAAGTAAAATAAAGTAAAATAAAATAAAATAATATAAAATATAATAACCTAAAAAAAATAATCTAAAATTAAATAAATAAAAATAAGATAGAATAGAGAATAAAGTCACTAAAATACAAAAAATAAAAATAAAATAAAAATAAAATAATATAATCTAAAATTAAATAAAATAAAATAAACCAAAAGAAAGTAAAATGAAAAAATCAAATAAAACTAAATTAAACTAAAATAAAAAACTTAAATAACGAAAAATAAATTAAAACGAAAACAAAATAATAGAGAATAAAAAAATAAAATAGTATAAAAAATAAAGCAATTAATTTACAAAAAAAAAAATTAAATAAACGAAAAAGAAATAATGTAAAATAAAATAAAATCATATTAAATTAAATTAAATTAAATATAAACAAATAAAATGAGAAGAAATGAACGAAGAAAAAATGTACAAAAATAAAATGAAAAAAAATATATATATATATATATAAATGTATATGTATATCGGTGCATACAAATATGTCTCTAATTATTTGGCATCGAACATACCTCCATGTATTACCCAAAATGGGTATCGGTTTCGGACCGGGTATCTCATTGTATGGCAATGCATTTTGCCACTCGCTCGTCTCATGTACCGCATCACCGCCGTTAGCCAAATGTGGACAAACCATTTCAGGATGGTTAGCCGTGGCCGCGGCCGTGGCAGCACTCGAATTTTCACGCACATTACCTTGAGGCACGGCACCAGATTGGGTGGCAAAGGTTAGCTGTTGAGTGATTTCAGTCGATTTTGTGGCGACGCAAGCAAGCGGTTGACTAACACCCAAGCTGTTGCGCCACAAACTGACTGAGAGTGCGCGCATGTTGCTCTTCATTTTATTTGATGTTTTATAATTTATAATTTTTTCTTTAATTTTTTTAAATATAAAATATAATTTTCTTGGTTTAGTTTTATATTTTGTGCAAATTTTAATTTTTCGGTTATTATGGTATATATGTATGTATTTTTAAGCTTTTAAATTAAATAATATTTCTGTTCGATTAAAGTCCGCTCATCAAAATTCCCAATTCATTCGCTTTATCAGTAAATCGTTCACATAACCGGACAAAACACAAAACACAATTTTTGCAAAAATTAAAATAAAAAATTAAATTGAAGAAATAAAATTTCTGCGGCGTGTCAAAAGTGGCGACGGAAGCCAACACAGCGATTATGCACACTTCAGGCGACAACGATAAAAAAATCACTTAACAATTTGGCAAAGAAACGCAGTGTGTCACTGTAACGCTGAGCAGACGTCACTAATATTACAAATACAAAAGTAGATTTGTAATTTGGATAACACTTTTTCTCTTTCACTTTTACGCGATCGTGCTGCTTCCGCCAAATAAATTTTCGCCGAATGCCCTTTCGATGCTTCGACGTGTTAAGCACTGAGCACTTACCAACAACCGCACTTTTCGAGTGTCTCTCGCCAACTGATTTAAATTTCTTTTACCAATTTTAATGCTGAACGCAAAAAAAAAATGTCTTCATTGTTGTGCAGCAGTTTTTTTACGTGATTCACTCGGAGCTTTTATCGTAAATAATTGTTCCGTTGAAGCTTAGTTATAGTGCTTGACTTAGCTTTGTGAATAAAGTCGTGTTTCCCACCTGTCAAAACACCAAAGTGGGCAAGTTTGTAATGGCCGGCGAAGTGTGTGTGTTCCTAACAAGACATATTCGATATTAAGTTGGGTTCGGGACTTGCATAGCTTCTTCTTTTTCGTCTTTATTGGCGGTTATAGCCGAATGCACAACACCGCGACAGTCGTTTCTACTATTAGTTCTTCGGTGCCAATTGGAAATACCAAGTGAGACTAGGTCCTTCTCCTTCGGCTCATTCCAATGGAGTTAAGGTCTTTCTTCCTCTCTCCTTCCACCAGTGGGTACTGCGTTGAGCTGGAAATGATTTGTGGTCTGCGGTATTTCTCGTAGCTCATGTGCAAAGAACCAAAATCTTTTACAAAACTTTTCTCTCGAGACGTCGTCATCTCCAATGCTTATGTGCCGTTTTTATTCCTCGAGAGGGGATTCACTTTCACTTTTACAGATAACCATATTTCGGGGCCCGGCGAAGTCGATTAACTCCAGTCCGTTGGTGTGGGTGTGTTTGGTCGTAACAGCAGAATTCCTTGACTACTGTGCCGAAGATAGGGCGTTAAAATCTTTATCTACCGTCGGGACGTTTACTTTGATGCATCCATTGGAGTGAATGCCAGGTCTCCCACCACTTATCTAAACCACATTAGCGCTTTATATGGATGATGAAGCGGCTTTCAAAAATCACTACTCATTTCCGTCCGTGTTCCATCCTTTGAACTTTTTGGATGGCGGTGATGTCAGCCTTAAGTTTTACGAGGACATGAACCAGCTGGACAGTGGCACCTTCCCAGGTGAAATTCCTTAAAACGTTTGCAGGTCAAAAATCGTGAGCTTCTTGAACCAAATGCGAAAGTCTCGTCGTTTGAATGTGTCAGGATTAAGCCTGAGTAGGTAGGAGTTTAGCCTGATACAATATCTAGATCTAAGTTGCGCCAATATTACGTGGGACTCTCGAGGTAGCAGGAGTTCTTCGCTTGCCATAGGTGGTGGTTTTACTTCGAGAACGCCATTCACTGGAAGAGTGTTCAGGAAGGTGTTGGCGGACTTTCGATGAATGGTGTTTAATGCCTATCGGTCACATGTTGTATTCAGCCGATCTTGTTGGCTGTGATGAATACAGAAATTCTAGTACTCCCTTTCTGTTGTGCCTGGTAGTGATTCGGCTTCAAGTAGGTGTCTGTTGGGGTGCTCTCTACGGTAGCGTTCCAGCAGGATTTGCTTTCACATCAAAGCACTATGCGCCTGAGCTCGTAGAATAGATGCTTTGCAAGTGACATCAAGAGGTTTCCTGTCACGGTCCTGAGGGCGGTGTAATGGCAGGCTTGTAGCTTCTTCGTCTGCGTATCGTTTGAACCCGGGCTAGAGATCGGAGCAGCATAGCTTACGACCGGGAGACTAATTGTCTTGAATGGTGCCAGTAATGTTTCTTTGTCTTTACCACAGGTGCTGCCGGCTAACGCTTTGAGGATTTTGTTGCGACTCTGGAGCTTTGTGGCACCGCATGCGGTGTGAAGCTGTGCAGACTATCGAATGTGACTTTCAATAACTTTGGGTTGTTTATAGCCGGAATTTCACTTTCAAGTCGAGTTCGAGATGGTACTCCTTCGTTCAGCTGCTTTAGATGATTTTGCTGGTTTTTGTCGTAATTATCTTGCAGTGAAGAAGTGGGAAAGGTTGTCAAAATATCAGTTCACTTTCGAACATAAGTCATCAATATTCGGCCAGATGCCAATATCCGGTGGAGGGGGGAGTTTCGAGACAGAAAAAGTTTAACAGGAGTGGGGAGAGTTCATCACCCTGCGAAACCCCAAATCTAATCTTTCTAAGCTTTCGAATTTCTACTTATAATTGATGACCTCTCTCTTAGTTAGGCCAACGTCAGCGGTAATGAGGATTCATCAATTTCCGATAGCTCTCGTCAGTTCCAGTGTTACCTGGACAGTTCGCGCACAAGGCTGGTTTTGATTGAGGTCATTGGCAGACCATAGTGTTTTTATGGCGTTAAGTGCAGTTGTGGTGCTTTGCACTTTATGACAGGAAAGAAAGATCTCTTTAAGTTTTCTGAACTTCCTGGTTCTAGCTTCTCTTCTGACAGTACAATAACTCAGACTGTGACCTCGAGATGTGCGCTGAGGTGCTGCTGGTGATCTGCAAAGGTTCTCTGTGAGCCTTAAAGAGATGCATATTTCTTTAAAACTACTGGTTGATAGCGTCTATGCGCTACAATTGGCGAGGTTGAGCTTTAAGTTGAAATTTTAAGTTTAAGTTATTTATATATATTTATCTTTTTTACTCAAAAAATGCTGTCAAGGATATGCTTACTTCTCCCGATATTCGAAATGGGTATCGCCGAAGTACAAACTCATAAAATATTTAATTGTACAAATTATATTTTTATTTTACATATTAATTTATCATTTTCATCTTTCATTCTTTCACTTTTAATTTCACAATTTCTTTGTTTGCATTTACTTTGTATATGCATTTATTCCTTTGTATGTATGTATGTAAATTTTGTTTTTAGTTTTAAGTTATTACAGCTAAATATGTTATATATTGTATGTATGTATATGCATACTTAAGTAGAGTACAATTCTTAAATATTTTTATTATATATATTAATTAATTAAACATTATTTATTAAAAAATGCATTTTTTTAAATACAAAATTCACATACACATACTTATACGATTAAACATTTGATTAAAAAAGTAACAAAAGTCTTAATTTTTTAATTTAATTCATTTCTTTTCTAATAGTTTATTAATTTACGCCTTACTATACGTGATAATAATAATAATAAATATGTATGTATTTATAGACAGATAATGCAATGATCTTATTTAGAAATGGAGTTTAGAGGATTTTTCATTTTACTTTTAGATATGCCTGCCATACATACATACGTACATAGTAGAGCATGTAAATATATTTGTGAATTTTTAAGGAAATAAATGGACAATGTAATTTATGGCAATTTTCAATGTGTATGCATTCGAGTAAATATGGCTAATAATGGCTTAATCAAAAAGAAAAATACCATTTTGTAATAAAAATAATTTTAATTTTAACTTAATAGGATTTTTTCACTCTCTTTTGCTTATGTGTGTTGAAATATATGCTTTATATGTATGTATGTAACTTTTTGATTAATGCACATTTTTATTCAATTTACAATATATTCAAAATTATGTATGTATATAAATGCGCTTGTCTGGATTTTAGAATCATGCATTCATACATATAGGCATACCGTATTTTTCCTATATATTTTCTTTTTTTTTTTAAACAATTAGTTATATTATTTGTTTAATAGAAGCTAAATATTAATTTAATATATGTTTGTTTTTACAAATGTATGCATGTCCGTGTTTATGTGTATTTTACTCATCTTTTTCCCACATATAGTGCACTTGTGTTAATGTTTGTTAGTAAGTTACTTGTATTAATACAACATCATGCTTTTTAAATAAATAAAAAGTGTGTGTGTGTTTTCCTCTACTTCTTGCAAATTAACAATCAAAATAATTAAAATTATAATAAATAATGCGAAGAGTTTTTATTTTATTCAAAAAAGTTTTGCAAATTTAATTAATAAAATTTCTTTTATTATAAAAAGCTTAAGAAATAGCAAGAGGGATTTAGAAAACATTACATTTTTTATAGAAACTCATTGTTTTGTTTGTTTTTATTACCTTTATATTTTCTGTTGAATTGTGTCACTTTATTCTTTTTTTATTTTATTTTATTTTGTTTTATTTAATAATTTGCAATTAATTTTATTCTATATTGATTTTTCTTATTTTTATTGCGTTTTACTTTTGAACTTATTTTGTGTATTTGACTTTATTTTAAAATATTCAATTATTTTCCTCAACTATTTAGTTTTATTTTAACTTATATGGTTATTTCATTTTATTTTATATTATTTTATTTTATATTATTTTATTTTAATTAATTTTATTTTATTTCATTTTATTTTATTTAAATTTAATTTATTTAATTAATTTTATACAATAATAATTATATATCTATATATAAATTGGCGTTTTGTAGCCGCTGAAGCGATTTTCGACCGAGCTCCTCCTCCAATTTGTGGGTTTGCCTCTTGATGTTTTTCCAACAAATGAAGGGACCTATAGTTTATATTAAGCCGCCTCCGAACGGCTGAGGAGCTTTATATCTTGTTAGAAGTACACTCGGAGGTGTTGACATTCCCTGCCGAGGGGCGACCGCAATTAGAAAATTTAACTTAAGTTTTTATTTTTTATTATTAATTTTTCTACAATTTTTGGATATTGGTCGCACGGTGATTTGAACCCGAACCTTCCGAATGGCAGTACGCAATGCTAACCGTTCGGCTACCACGGCCGCTAACAATAACATTAATTAATTTAATATAATTTTAATTAATTTAATATAATTTAATTTAATTTTACTTTATTTTATATTTTATTTTACTTTTATATTTTATTTTCTATAATTTCAATTTAATATAATTTAATTTAACTTTTTAAGATTTAATTTCATTTTCTTTTATTTTGTTTTAATTAATTTATTTTCTTTTTTATTTAATTTACGTTCAATTTTATTTCGTTTATTTTTTATTTCATATTTTATTAGTCTAATTTATTTTTCATTTTGTGTTATTATATGTTACACTTCAATTTATTTTATTTTTTGTATCTCTTTCTGCTATTATATTTTAATTTACTTTGTATACATTTTTTATTTTATTTTATATGTATTTTTTTAACAATTTTTATTTTATTTTTTAATTATTTTTGTTCTATTCAATTTTTTATTTATTTTAATTTATAATTTAATGTTTAATTTTTAAGTTTTTTAATTGTTTGTATTTTAATTTAACTCACTTTTAATTTTTATACTTCTTTCTATCTTATTTCATATTGTTTTATTTCGTGTCACTTAAATGATTTTATTTTTTATTAAATTCCATTTCATTTTTACTTGTTATATATTTTTTAAATCTATATTTTATTTTATTATTTTTAGTCTCTTCAATTTGTCTTATATTTATTTTTTTATATTTAATTCAATTTAAATTAATAATTTAATTCTTATTATTACTTTTCTTTTATTTTAATTTAATTTTGTGTTTAATAATTTATTTTAATTTTTATTTTGTTGGCTAACAAGAGAATACTCGGTCTAAGGCCGAAAATCGTGAGCTTCTTGAACCAAATGCAGAAGTGTCGTCGCTTTGGTCTTAGAAGGGATCAAAAATCTCATTTTTTTAAATAAAATTTCATTTAATTTTTTTTTTTTTAGAATGGATCAAAAATCTAATTTTTTTAAATACAATTTCATTTCATTTTATATTGTTATATTTTTTTTTAAATTTATATTTCAGATTAAAAAAATTAGTCTCTTCAATTTGTCTTTTATTTATTTTTGCTTTTTCTTTTTTATATTGAATTCAATTTAAAATAATAATTTTATTCTTATTATTACTTTTCTTTAATTTTAGTTTAATTTTATTTAATTTGTATTTAATAATTTATTTCATTTTTTATTTTAGTAAATTTTTAATGTTTGTTTATGTCTCATTTTTATTTTATTTGAATTAATTTTGTTTTTTTTTATTATTTCATTAAAAGAGTTTATTTTATTGAGTTTTATATTGTATTTGATGTTTTAGTTTTCATAGATTTTCGAGAAATTAAAATTATTAAATTGCCCAGTACAAATTCTGGCCTTCGGCATGCATGATTGTAAGTAATAGTTTCGTTGGCAGTACTTTCTTTTTTAGATTAATAAGTAGTATTCATGTAAAATTCTAATAGTTAATTCAAAATATTGTATACTTAAAGTAGAATGCAAAGTTGTAGTTGCTCAAAATAATTGTTAAGTTTTTTTTTTTTTTGAAATTTCCAACTAGACCTAGGGAGTACACAACCTATTAAACTCCATTCCTTTAGTTTACCATTTAATAAATTAATTTATGTATTATTTTTGAGTGATTAAATGGCACTTTTGTTATGAGAAATGAATAAAAATTCAAAATAAATAAAAGTGCAGAAAATATTCCAATAAAATTAAAAAAATAATGTATAACAAAGAAAAAAAAAATAAACGGATAGTATGATTTTACTAAAAATAAATAGTTAATTTGTTTTGTTGTTAATAATTTAAATTTCAATTTTAAGCACAAAAACACATTTTTTTCATATATGTAAATGCAGCTTATATTAAATCTAGTCTTTTTGCTTATTCGGTTAAATTATGTTTTATGTGAAAATTTTCAATAGCAAGTATTTAGCATATAGCGGCAAGTAGCTTCAGTTGTGCATATTTATTTGAATATATCATAAAGTGCTAATACATACATATGTATATGTATATATGTACATAATATTAGTTTAAAGTGGTTATATGCATATCGATGCTGTTCAATTGTCGGACAGGAAAATCGTTGCTGTTGTGAAAGAGTAGTACATATAGTATGTTACTACATACATATATAATATTTAGGCTAGAATTTTCAATATTTTACGGAATGTTTAAAAAATTGCATGCTTTGTCTCGGTTGTGTTTAATTAATATAAAGATATGTTTAAAAATATTGAACTAATCAATGGATTTTTTTTTGTTTTTTTTTCCAATGTGGCAAAAGTAGTAATTTTAGTTAATGTAAAATTTTTTGAAATATTTTTAGTAACACTTTTTGTGTGTTTGAATTAATAAAAATAGAATTAAGAAGTGAAAATTTGGCAATTTTGCTATAATTAGAATCCTTTGACCCGACATATTGGGGCTTCCACTGGCCGCACGACACACCACTTTTTAGACCTATCTAATACACATGCAATTATTTTTGTAATTTATGTATAGATGTTAACATTTTCGTTTTTTATTTTTGTTTTTGCACAATACATACATTTCCCTTCAATGTTTTAACAATTCGTAATATTTAAATTTGTATAAATGCAATTTAAATTGTTTAAATTGTTATAGTTTCGATTTTCGTTTTCGATTTTGTTATTAATTAATATAGCGTTGCTTAAATGGTATTTTTATTTTTTTATTTTGTTTTCACGCTCTTTAATTAATCTTACTTTAATGCTTAAACAGTAATACGTCGTTAAATACATACATAAAACATAGATATACGATGAAACTCTTACATATAATGGTTATATACATGTCACGTTATACATTTTGCCTGCGAAAATTTTTTTAATATTAAAATGAACAGCGACACGTCACTTTAATGCAAAAAATAAGTCGTCGCAATCACCATTTTTTACTAACGGTATGTATAAAACTCGCAAATCAATTTAACTTACAAGCAAAATACTAATTTTAATTAATTAATTTTAATTTCTCCAACTTAAAATATTTTTAAAAGCAAAAAAAAGAAAAAAAAAAATTTAAAATGAAAAAAAAATTTAGCAGCCAAAATATGTCCAAAATTCACTTAGCGCACTGGAAATTCATTAAAACTATAGAAAAATATCTATATATGTGTATTTTTTTTCTCAACTTCATCAACATTTCCTCACGCTAAGTTTAACGAGGTTTTTCTGTCATCTTATTTTTTTGTGTAATTTCTTCGTTTTGTTTTTCCTTGCTGTTTTTGTAAACCTTTCAGCAATTCATTTACATAATTCATTACTATCATTATTTTTTGATTTTGTTCTCCCAAAATTTTTGTGTTTGCGCTTTGACAAAAAAAAAAACTTCTTCATTTGAAATATTTTTACGCGCGCTTCGCAATACTTTTCATCCGTTTGGCGTAGTACTAAACTAAACTACATATATGTATGTATGTATAAACGTTTAACTTAACCGTATACATTACTGTTAAACTTCGAATTCATTCGCTGTTATTGCACTCAAATCCTTCATGAGTCCCTCCAGATTAGCCATTTCCTGGTTTAACTCCTCAGTTGATGTGCTTGGCGCTAATCGTTGTATTTCGTCGTTAGAGTGTGCCACCGATGAGCCACCCTGTAAGCGATTTGTTGGTGTGGCAGCTGAGAAGGAGGGTTTCTTGTAGGGTGATTGATTTTGTGGACGTATTGTGACGGCAGGTGCTGTGTGTGGGCGGTGGTTAAAGTAAAATAATTTTTAAAAAATTTATAGAAAATTTTCGTTGAATTTTTTTTAAATTAGAAGGACTAAGTTCGGTTGGAACCGAACAGTAGCTACTGATATTTGCTGATATTTACATTAAGTCCACAGATCAGTCAAAAATAGAAAGGACCGATGCCAGCTATTTTTGGTAAGACTTTCGAGTCTATTGAAGGTAACGAGATAGCTGGCAAACTGTTCAAGGAAGGTATCTATTCAGAACAGGACGTAGTGACGCAAAAGCAAGAAGTAAGTTTACTTCGCCAGCCGAACAGACTCTGGGAACGAGCCGAGGTCGGCAGAATCGTGGAAACTAAGTGTAAGTGTAAACTTACCAATTTTGTACTATCTGTAAACAGGCCGAATTACAGACAGCTGATATGACTATTAACGGGGCTTTTAATAAAGGTCCGACTGGGGACAACAAGCGCGGGAAATGTAAGAAATGTGTGGAGACTGTGGAGCACGTCCAGCCCAGCATTCGGTAGACAAAGGCTATCTTTACTTGGCGCAGAAAGGCTACAGAATTTTCAATCGGTAATTTGCAGGGGACCAAAACGACTATTTTAATTTGCGAAGAGAACAACAATGTTCTTCACACTAGGTACACAATAAGAGTGTTGCATTTCAGCTTGGTCGCAAGTTATGTGTCCAGCATCACTATCAACACGGATATATCGAGAGATAAAGAGATGAAGAGGGAAGCAAGACGCATCTGAAACCGATGGAACAGACATTCCGCTAACTGACCATGTCGAAGTTCGAACAGTGATTGCCCGCTTAAAATACAACCAAGCGGCTGGGGCTGACGGCCTACAGGCAGAACTATTCTAATATGGCGGTGAAGAGCTGACAAGGTGTATGCATGAGAAGGACCTCTCCGAGCCGTTCGGTACCAAAAGAGGTTTCAGACAGGTGTGATTTCTTCAATTTGATGCTGGAGAGAATAATAAGAACTGCAGAGCTGAATAGAGAAGGTACCATCTTCTATAAGAGTGTAAAACAACTGGCGTACGCCGATGATATAGACATTATCCGCCTCAACAAGCGCGCCGTTTGTTATACTTTCTCCAGCCTTTAGAAAGAAGCGAAGTGAATATCTGCTGCTATCAAACAAACACTCACACAACACACACTCCCTGTTTACAGTCATAACTTTGAAGTTTTAGATAATTTCGTCTACCCAGGAACCAGCATCAACACCAACAATAACGTCAGCCTTGGTCTGAGTAGGCAAGTGAAAAGTAAAGTCCTCTCTTGGCGAACGAAAACCAAACTCTACAAGTCCTTCATCGTTCGTGTTCTCTTTCTTTGCGCGTTGGCAACGGCGAATACCGCAGACGATGGAACGATGAGCTGTACGAGTTATACGGCGGCATTGATTTGGTTCAGCGAATCAAGAAGCAGCGGTTACGCTGGCTAGGTCATGTAGTCCGGTTGGATAAGAATACTCCAGCTTTGAAAGTTTTCGATGCATTCTCCGACGGTGGAAGCAGAAGAAGGGGAAGACCCGCACTCCGTTGGAAAGACCAGGTAGAGAAGTAGCTGGCTGTACCCCCTTTTTCCAATTGGCACCAAACAGCAAAAAAAAAAGAAGAGTTTACATTCATTTTTATTATAAATCACTTGAATATAAGGGTAGCTGTTGTAGCTTAATTAGTCGCGCAACACAGATGCAATGCCAAGTTAGGTTAGGTTGCATTGGCTGATTTCTATTTATCATTTTAGAAGCAAGATCGAGGGCCAATTTAATACTTGGTGAAGTAGCCATCATGCGTGAATACTTCTCGGTGCAGTTCAAGAGCGATTAGGCATCTTACTTTCGTACTTTTTTAAGATTTCTGTACCACGAGAGAAGTGTTATAGTTAGGATCGAATCGAAGAAGCATATAGAGACATACAGTAGTACTGTCCCACACATTCTCTCCCCATTGCTCCGGAATCTCACAGTAAACTAGCTATTAACGCAGACGAAATGGGTGATGATGTGGCCACAGCATACAGAGGCAAGTTTCCACAAACCCTCTGTGACGTGATGCAGGGAATACTAAGAACTGTGTCAACTCAAACAAAGTGGAACTAATACTAACTACAAGGACCCCTCATCACTGTACTGCGTCCAACTTAGCTTGTGATCAAAAGCCAAATTTATAAGATTTTTTTTGGTCAAGAAACTTAACTGGAAAGATAATATTGTTCAAAAATACGAGAAGACTGCTACTGCCCTTTATACATGCAAAAGAGCAGTAGGTAAGAAATTGGGTCTCAGCCACACGACTTGGCGATGGATCTACATCTCAGTAGTAAGATCAACACTCCTTTACGGTGCGATCGTGGGGTGGACTGCTATAAGTAAAGCTTCAAATGCACAGACAAGGTTCAAAGAAGAGCGTTAATGTAAATCAGTGGTGCACTAAGGAGCACGCATAGTGAAGCTCTAAATGTAATACATAATATCCACTGGACTGTCGGCAGCAATGACTGCTCCTCGTCTAAGATAATCAAATCAATGGACCAAGAAGTAATACAGATCGATGTGATCCAATAGTATTAACTGATAACCACGTCAGAACACGAATTCCCAGCAGGGAAGAATGGCTAGATAATTACAGTTCTCCAAGGGATAGCCTGGAAATATACACGGACGGGTTAAGGCTTGAGGGGGAAAGCTGGTGGAGACGTTTCTTTGGAAAACCCTTCGATGGTATTCTCGTTCAGGCTACTTGACCCTTGCAGTGTTTTCCAGGCAGAGATATCTGCAATCATGAAGGCTGCAAAGCAAAATGGATATCTTAATTGTCACCGATAGTCAGGCAGCAACAAAAGCACTGGGCTTTCTTACGCTAAACTTCAAATTAGTGCTGAACTGTCGCCGATATCTACAGGAGATGGCCAAACAAAACAGACTGTCTCTCAAGTGGGCCCGTGGTCACAGGATCTCGAGGGAAACTGTAAGGCAGATGAACTTGTTAGGCAAGGTACGACCAAGCAGATTCCTCTCGACAAAGAACACACTGGTATGCCTTTTGCTACTTGCAGACCGCTTCTTAGTGAATTTATAAATGAACAAGCCGCTAGAAAATGGAATGAGTTACAACCTATCTGCAAACACAGGCACACATGGTCGTAACAAGAAGAGATAACGAGATATGTATAACTTAGAAAAGGTGGCATGTCCAAAGTCTGATAGGACGATACGCGGAAACACTAGGGGAAGATGCTGCAGAAGCTGCAAGGGGGGATGAAGAGTAGAAAACGATCACCCATCTATTAGGCGACTGTCCTGCTTTGCGTAGTGTAATTTTGTAATTTTGGAACCCTACTGCCGGATGCTCTATCGAAGATAGCTGACTCCAATGTCATGGGTCTAATGACGTTCATTAGGGAATCAAAATGGATGGATGATGAAACCTGATGGTTAAGTATTTGTGGTATCATAATGGGTCTTACTCAGGCCTTAGTGAACTCGATAGATCGCTAGCCGCTACAATCCAACCTAACCTAACTGTCTCACACTTGCAGTCGCCTCACATTTTCTGCATGTATAAATGTGAAACGAAATTGACCGATCTAAACTTATGTGTTTACATCACTCTCTTTATATATGTACGATCTTAGCAGTCTTTTAGACGGTTAAAACTATTCCATCTCGCTATGAACCTTTTTCCTCATTAAGTGGTTTCACTACACGGGTTCACGAGTATTTAAGATCATATGAATATTCTTAGTAATTTGGTTCCCCATAATCAGAGTTTCTTTAGGTTGAATGCCGACCTTGATTTTACGAGGGGAAAACCACCTATTGATGATCACAATCACGTGACTTAGCATGCTTCGATTTCTTTATCTTACTAAGGAAAATCTTAAATTTTCACTGAACCGCTTTACGAGAGCTCGGAGCCGATTTTATTAAGGCCATGATGGCTCGGCCGATTTTTTATAAATAAGAGTTTTCACTCAATTGTCTTAAAGTCACACTTTTTCAATAGGCAATACTTACTGTGTTTATTTACGGGTGTTGCACCACCAGTTGGCGGTGGTCCTGGTACACTGAAACTCTTTAGCGGATGACCGCGTTTGGAACTCTCGATAGTTGAAACGCCGCCATTATTAATGGGACCACCACCAGGACCAGCACCGCCACCAGCGCCGCCATTCGGGTAACCAGGATTGCTGAAAATATTATTAGAATATGATTAAATTTTAGGCAAGAGGCTGAGGTGATTTGATAGAACAGTTAGTGGACTATGAAACTTAAAAAATACATTAGAAAATAATTGCAAAAGAATAAAAGTCTTAATGTTGTACTTAAATATGATTTTATTGAAATTTTTTTAAAACAAAAATTTCGCCTTACAATAAAAACATAAAAATAAAATATTTGGCGCGCTTGGCGACATTAGACACAAACAAAATACGAGATTCGCTTTATGAAAAACAACATAAATTTTGCACTAAATTCTGCCGCCCAATCCATCCGAACAAGTACTGCTTGTATCGTCAACTTCATCATATTCACCACACACGCTATTCACCGATGTGCTTGATGAACGAGTTTCCTTCTGAGATGGAGGCGCCAATAGAAAGCCACACTGTACTGGCGGTTTGCGTCGTCTACGCTTGCGAGCAGTCAACAGGGAACGCCTTCGACGTAATCGCTTCAATTTACGTTGCTCCATCGCGATACTGCGATACGGTTGCTTTTGTTCATCCGACATTGCATTCCATAAACGTCCTGCCGTTTTGGCGATACGCGCACTTTCACGCGGTGAAAGTGAGCCACAGCCGAGATTTGTGAAATCTCCACCGCCGGCTTTCATACGCACTTCGGCGAGAAAGTTGAAAAATGGATTGCTACAAGCGGAGAATTTTGTGTGACGTAGAATTTCGCGATGCAACGTGCTTGGACTGAATGTGACGCGCGTCTTGCGGCTTGATGGTCGTACTAGTGTGGTGAATACTTCACATATTTTGTCCCATATGCCTGACATGACACTTAATTTTATCGGTTGGATGAATGGGGTCGGTTGATTTAATTCAATAAGAAATTTTTTTTCGAAACGTACAAATGAAAACACAGAAATATTGTTTGTTACACTGAAATTTCGTCGGCTGATGAAAATTTTTATTTTTTATTTAGACATTGAAAGATAGTTGAAGTGTTTTTCATGAATCACTTTGTGCTGTTTTGCTGTTTGGTGTGTTGAAAGCAATCCCAAATACCGAATGCGAGCGTGAAGGGGTCAAGGGGGGTTTGCTATACTCCATATAAAGAATCAGCAATCGAGATGGGAATTCAGAACTGATCAACTTCTTCATCCTCCGGACTCTGAGTTCCTTAAAGTTCTGCTATTGTTGTTGTACAGCCTAGAAAATGTTCCCGAAGTCATCTAATGCATAGCCTATAAAGCAAGCTACAAACGGAAAAGCTGGTTTGACGGCGTATGCCAAGCGGAGGTAAGTGTTTTGCGGGCACTGATTTCAAGATAGAAAAAGGTAGGTATGCCCTGGTCGAGCCCTGATATGTTCGGGTTAAATATGCAATAGTAATCGCAATGCCGCGACAAAACGAGTCTTTTTGAGTAGCTGGAGATCTTCGTCTACTATATGTAGCAGTTGGATTCCGATAACGCTTTTCACTGGAAGAGATTTGTGAAAGGTATGGACTGATTCTCTGTAAATAGCATTCCGGGCTTTTCGGTAGTATGCGTCATCCAGCGGTTCTGTTACATATTACTAAATGGCGTTTGTATTTTTTTATTGTCTTTTTGTTTTGTTTGGTGGCGGTTATACAGCGAGCAAGTGTCTGCAAGAGTTATTCCTGCGTCAGAATACTAAAACACAAATTACAAAGCGTGTCATTGTGATCCTCAAACGCCGAGTAAATATGTTCCTCATACTAGATGATACGCAGGCGAAAAAAGGAGGATTTTTGATACGATGAACAAGGATTTGTTTCTATACATTTGTAGTTTCTCCATATGCAAGTGTCCAGCAACGGTTCCTTGTCTTTGCTCCAGTTGACTGTGGGTTTTTTTTTTGTTTTTAAGTCATCAAATCTAGCCCGTACTTCGTCTACTTGAAACTTTGAAAGACAGATCTGAAGATCTGATTATCTCTTTACGAGATATATTTAATCGTCTGCAGACGCTGCATACTAGCAGGTCTAATAGTCTTGTTGCGAAGTATAAGAAGACTTAATGTTTCTAAAAGATCTTTTCCCCGATTCTTTGACATTTACTTGCTCTACTAACAAGTTTAAAGTTGCTACTGGATATTTATTTAAAGAAGAGTACATATTAGTTCCTTACAAAGTGGAGAACTTACCAGAAATTGCCCTCATAGCCATATGGATGTTCGGGCGTTTGCGCCAAAGAACCCGGCTGTTGTGTTAAACTCTGCTGCGAATGCCCGGTGTCGACTGTCATATGCGAGCGATTGGCAGAAATATTATACTGTGTACGCGGATACTGGGGACGTTCCATGGTAGAGTTCATTGATGTAGCTGGGGAAGAGGAAAATCATATAAAAATTAATATAATATTTTAAAAAATTGTCTAAAGTTCCAGAAGAGTCCGGTATGTAAGCTTATTAAAATTTGTCGATATTAAGCTGTTCTTTAGTTTCTGTTTAAATACTCACTCATATAGCCGGGCACATATGAACGTTTGTCCAGCGAGTTCGTCACTGGCACTGGCGTGTCGACGTCATATTCGTGCACCACCGAACGTGGCAATGTTAAGGCACCGCTACTCGACGCACCATCGCTACACACTGCAATATAAATTAATTGGTAATTAAATTAGAATATTTTACAATACAAAACTACTATTGGCACTGACCAGGCGTTGTGCTGTGTATATTTTTATCAATATTCTTCAATTCCATTTGATCGTGATGTATCCATAGATCTGGTGGTTTTGGTACGCCAACATTTTGATAGCTATATTGGGGAAAAATTTATATTTGGTAAAAAATTCCTCTCTCAAAAATGCCAATTTAAATAGAAAAGTGCACTCACTCTTCGTACCTCTTCTTGTTGTGATCGGGTGTGGATTGTGGTTTGCGACGGCACACAACAACCATTACAGCCACAAAAATGATTACCACAAATACTACACCACCTGCCACTGAGTACAGAATAATTTCATTACTAATACCCTTGGCAATTGGTTTCGGTTCCTGCATAACAACAGCCGCTGCAGTCGTGTAGGCCACAAGCGCTGAGAATGGCGCATTACTAGCGCCCTTACCCACGCGTGCCTGCACTTTGAAGTAGTACGTGGTGTAGGGTTTCAAATTGGGCAACATCATCATTGTCTCATCACCGGCGAAAGCCTCAATAGACCAATCTCGGTCGCGTTTGGTTGTGTCTGTTGTGTAGTAAATATTATAACCGGTTATTTGACCAAGACTATGCTTCGGTGGCAGCCATTGCAGTATGACCGTTTGTGGGTTCTGTTCATCCGGTCGCACTGTTAACTCGCGTGGTGGCGTGATGGGCACATTCTGGTAGGTACTATTCAACACGGACATGGACCAAGCCGACTCGCGACGTCCCTTCACCACTTTCACAGCAAATTCATATTGTGTATTTGGACGCAGATCATTGATCATGCAATTGAGATCGGTAGTATTATGGTAGCGGAAGCGACTTGAACCCGAGATGCCATAGCGTACGGTGTAGTGACGATTATCGATGACATGCTGATTCTTACTCAACGTCGTATCGATCCAATAGACGACAATGGAAGAACTTGACATGGTAATGGCACGCAGGCCGACAGGCACCTCCAACGGCACTGGTATGTCGAGTGGTTCCTCATCGCGTGTTTTGATATTATCATAAATGGGTGGTCCATCACCTTTACTGTTACGTGCACGCAGTGAAACCACATATTCAGTATTCGATTCTAAATTCTTCAATACATAATAGCGCTCGGATTCTTTTAACTCGATCGTATTCTCATCAGGTATGCCACGTCCCCAACCCAAAACGTAACTGCGAATTTTGATTTCATGCTGATGCGGCGGTCCCCAGTGGAGGGCGATGTTGTCACCACCCGGTTGTATGCCAATCCAAACAGGTTTACCTGGCACTTGTGTTTCATCCAAATCATTTTCCAGTGTCATTACACGATTCCATTCGGTAAATGGCCCAGAACCATTAACAGTCATAGCGGCAATTTTTATTTGATATTCCGAGTGGCGTTCCAGACCATTCAACTCAAAGTAGCGGATATTTGCTGGTGTGCTCTTTACTTGTGGCGTATCCTTTAATTTGCGATAACGGATTTTATAGCCAGTAATTTGACCGTTACGCTCCTCCTCGGCGGGTGGCTCCCAATGGACGGTGACGGACTGGAATAAAGGAAAGACGAATAATTAACTTTATGGACTTAAATAAAATGAAAAATTAAATAAAATGAAAATAGTAAAAACAATAAAAAATCAATATAAAAATATATACAATAAAATAAATAAATAAATAAATAAAAACAAAATGTAGTAAACTAAATTAAATAAAACAAATTATAATAAAAAAATAAACTATAAATAATTAAAGAAAAAAATTGAATAAAATAAAATAAAATACAACAAAACAAAATAAAATAAATCTAAATAAAACGGAAGGAGATAGAAATGAAACATAAAATAAAGTCAAATAAAAAAACAGATTTGAAAATTCAATATAAATATGTAAATTACAGCTTAAAGAGAAAAAATTAAAAAAGTGGATAAAAACACAAATAAAATAATACAAAAAATATAAATAAATAAAAATAAAAAGTAAAAAAAAAACTAAAACATATAACGAAATAATGTAAAAAAGTAAATTAAAAATAATATCAAAAAATAAAATCAAATAATTAAAAAAGAAAAACTTAAAAAAAAAAACTAAAATAAAGCAAATTAAAGTAAAATAAAAGAAAATTATATTAAATTAATTAATTAAAATAAAATAAAATACAAAAAATAAATAAAATAATCTTACTAAATTAAAATAAAAAAAAATTAAGTAGAACAAAATAATATAAAAAAAATTAACACAAAATAAAATTAAATTGAATAATACAAACTAAAAGAAAAAAGTAATATATCAAATTTAAATAAAAAAATTAAATAAAATATGACATAAAATAAAACAAAGTAGTATAATATAAAATAAAAAAAATAAAATAAATAAAAATAAAAAGAAATAAAATAAAAAAAGAAATAGCAAAATATTTATTAATATAAATAAAATATAATGACATAAAATAAAATAAAGTAGTATAATATAAACTAAAATAAAAAAAAATAAAATAAAAAAAATTTAATGAAATATAATAAAATAAAATGAATTAAAAAATAAATAAAATAAAGTAACGAAAAATGTATTAATAAAAAATTAAATAAAACACAAAAACTAAATCAAATAAATTATATTTATTAAAATAAAATTAAACAAAACAAAATAATATAAACTATAATAAGAAAATAAATAAAATAAAATAAAATATAATAACATAAAATATAAGATAAAATAAAAAAAAATTAAAAAAAGTAAAATAAATTAAAATAAAATGAGATATGATAAAATAAAATGAAAAAAAAAATAAAACAACGAAAAATATATTGATAAAAATAAACTAAAATACAAAAATCAAATAAAAAAATATGAGTAAAATAGATCAAATTTAAATAAAAAAATTAAATAAAATATGACATAAAATAAAACAAAGTAGTATAATATAAAATAAAAAAAAAATAAAATAAATAAAAATAAAAAGAAATAAAATAAAAAACAAAATGAAGTAGCAAAATATTTATTAATATAAATAAAATATAATGACTTAAAATAAAATAAAGTAGTAAGTAGTAATATAAGCTAAAAAAAAAAAAAAATAAACAAAAATTTTATGAAATATAATAAAAGAAAATGAAATAAAAAATAAATAAAATAAAGTAACGAAAAATGTATTAATAAAAAATTAAATAAAACACAAAAACTAAATCAAATAAATTATATTTAATTAAAATAAAATTAAACAAAACAAAATAATATAAATTATAATAAGAAAATAAATAAAATAAAATAAAATATAATAACATAAAATATAAGATAAAATAAAAAAAAAAATAAAAAAAATAGTATGTAATAAAATAAAATTCAATAATATAATATAAAAGCAAATAAAGTAAGACAAATTAGATAAAATAAAATGAAAAATATAAAATACAGCAAAATATATTAAAATGAAAAATAATACAATAATAAAATAAATTAAATTAAAACTAAATAAATAATATAATAAAATAAAAGAATTTAGTAAAAAAAGTAGAATGACATAAAAAATTTGAATAAGCTGAATGAAATTAGAAACAATTAAATAAAATGCTGAGAAATTAAAAAGATTAAAATAAAATTAATTAATTTTTAATTAATATTCTTTCCAATTTAGTAACAATTTCCCAATTTAAACCAATAAAATATTTGTTTTTGCTAAAAAAAAGAGAGATTAAATAAACTCACCGTCGAACTTGTCACTTCCAGCGTTACATTATTTGGCGGTTCAGTTGGCGTAGATGAGTATGTCTTAACCTTAATCTCATTCGATGGGTCGCCCATGCCATTTTTGTTGAACGGCACGACAGTTATGGTGTAATCAGTGTACGGCCGAAGTTCAGAGATGACAGCGCTCAGAGAAGTGCTATCGTAATACATCTCAGCGCCACTATCGTTCTGAGAAAGACAAGACATGGAATAATTTAAAGAAAGTGAACACATTGCGACATTCGGCATCCACTGTCATACACGTACCTCAGAGTAGTAAATGCGATATTTTAAAATTTCGCCATTAGTTACGGTTGGTGGATCCCATTTAACGAAAATCTCGCGCTCACTAGTCGCATGTCCATCCACATTGCGTGGTGGACCGGAAATATTTTCCTCCGGCTGTGTGCGTTCCTCCAAGACCTAAAATAAAGCGAATGATGGGTAAAGTTTAGCGCAAAAACCGAGAAGTTGCATAGGTATATACCTCCGAGGAGTCGCCAGGTCCGAAATTCGTATTCGCTACAACGCGAAATTGATATGTTTTGCCGGGCAATAAGTTTTGTATGTTCACTTGCTGATCATCATGTGATTTGGTGACTATTTTTTGTTCGCTAAATTTACGAAAAAAAACATTACTGAGGTTAGTTTGCCCAAATGAAGAAAATTATTTCTAAACACTATAGGAATTTATTGAATTTAAAGAAATATATATTAACAATTTACATAAATTACAAACAATTCGATGAAAAATTGTAAATAATTTTAAGCCAATTTCAATCTCCAACCACTTGAAGTCAAGCATTTCGCCATTAGTTTAATGTCTCTGATATTGGTATGGAATTGTTACTGGCAAATGATTATTTATTTGTCGCCTACCCATTACAATTACTGTAAGCTCCTTACCACTAACACCGTTAGCTAATAATAGCACAGTGAGTAGAGACAAAAGCGTAGTGTCTGCTGGCGAACACGCTTCACTGGATTCAGCGCCATTCATGGGCCGCCGTCTTTAATTTGACAAAGTGGAGGTTGCATTCAAAGTAATTGCGCCAAATAACAGTACTCTAGTAGTATGTATATGTGCATGTAGCAAGTAGTAAGAGGTGACAGGAAGAGCAGTAAATTGCGTTTGCCAAAATAAGGAAATTCTACTTGGCAATTTGCAAAAGATGTTTTCAAATAGAATTATTACATTGTGTGTGGTGGACGGTGTCGGTGCCGGTGTTGGCTTGGCAAAGTCGTCTTTCATGGTACGAGGTGGCGACTTCCGTGGCTGCCGTCTTTGCTCACCCAGACTGTCAAAAATGAAAACGAAATGGCTTTGAAAAAAAATCTTGTTTTTTTATGTATTTTCACTTTTCATCTTTGTCCTGGGGGGAGACAAGTAATTTCATTGCCTTTTTATTTACCAATTGGAATGACATTTTTGTGTTAGAAAGTGAGAAATGTCAAAACAATAAATGCCTATAGCATTGAGTGGAAAAAAGGAAACCGTAGGTATCTACTAAGTCTTGAAACAGGAAATTTGAATTGTGGTAGAGCTAAGGCTTCACTGACAGCAACTTGACATCTAAGCGCTGATGGAACGGATGTCGTTTGAAGTCAGATCTTTGAGCTTTACTCATCTCAGACAATATGCTCACACATATCTTTTTCACCTAAGAAAGCTTTAGAAGAAGCTACAGGTAGATGATTTTGAGGCTGCAGCAATTTAGGCTTCTAAGCTTTATTTTTACAAAAGTTTACACTCTTGGAAGGCAAAATTAACCTCTTCTTAATTCTCAGTGGAGAGTTTAGCTATAATATCTGCGGTACAATCGATATGAGTGCGACCTTATTGATAAACGCGGACTTTGCTTATTGTGGAGTGGGAGAGGATATACCTTTAACATTTTAAAATATATCGGGATGTTTGTGAGGTGAGTGGCATATCGTAATACTTCTCTCCGAAATGTAACTCAAAGCTGAAGGAACCATAATGCGCGGTACGTCTAGAAACACAATTTTAAACCGATTTTGAGAGAGGTTGACATTGAAAATTACGGAAAGAAACGAATGGAAAATTGGAATCAAAGATACAGACACTTAAAACTTGATGGTAAAAAGGGTGAAGAAGTCTACATAATACCTTCCGAAGTCAATATAAGAAAGAGAGTCCATCGAAATTAACTGCAATAACAGAAGTCATCTCGTGATTATACCATTCTTCGAGTGTGAGAAAAGCCTTCATAATTTACTCTGAACTATACGGCCAGACAGAGGTAGAATGATTCTAGCGTCAATAAAATATTCGAATGACTTGGACAATCGGAACAAATTCCACCACTAGCAGATCTAATAGCAGGTGGCAAAAGAAAACCAAAGTCAACCAATTATATCCATATCTTTTTTCATAGCCAGTCCGCATTGAAGGCCTTGAAAGCTGTAACAATAAAACCGGAAACAGCAGAAACATGCCGCCGATCACTCAAAATGGTGGCTAAGAAGTTCTCTCTGTACCTAGTTTGGGTGCTGCACCGTGTAATGGGAGTAGGAAGAACCTTGAGGCTCATGCCTCGAATTTTAGATGAGTAGGTTGAAGTTCCTCAGGTCGTCAACCTTTAGAAACTTGTTCGAAACAGCGGACACTAAGATAGATCGGCGGCTCAGTTTTGCATTTTACGAAATTTTTACCAGGATTGAATTAGAAGAAATAATTTTAGAGAGGAGAGAGAGAGGATAGGCCAGTAAAGCTCCATTAGGCTTGGGATATAGAAACTGCAGTAACTTAGCTCAGTGTGCTCCTTTAATTCTTTATTAGTTGTTAATTTTTTTTATAATTTTTAGTCTCAAAAGTTCTGACCATTAGCACTTCGAGGTAAAAAAAGAACTGCCGGTTTGTGAGTATTTAACCAACCCTCATTAGGGCTTAGGTATGTCTGTTGATTGCGGCCTTATTAAAGGCGAGCCAAACTGGTAAACAGATGGCTCTTCAGTGAGTCTCAAAATGTAACTTTCATATAATCCGCTTGAAAACTCTTAAGATTATCCACCAAAGAGTCTCATAAAATATGTTGAGGGCTGCAAAAGTATTGAAGATAACGCAAACATTGTTTTGGAACATAATCGGCGTACCTAACCGACTGCTGTTCGGTTTAAAGCCATCGTTTAAACCAACCCGACCAGAGAATTGACTTAACAGGTTAAGAAAATCTACTAAAAAAATATCTGATAAATATAATTTTCACTTACCGCTCACTGTTGCTCATTTTATAGTACACCGTGTATGAGACCACTTCCACTGGATTCTTCTTTGGCTCCATCCAACTGAGTGTTACAAAGCGTGGCTTCACAATCTGCGCAACCAAATCATGTGGTGGTCCCGGCAAACGATTCAACAAAGCGCCATTTATATGTGTCACACCGCCGCCAGGTTGCAGAATGCCTGCAGCGCCGCCGACATCACCCACACCAGTGATGCCAATCGTACCTTCGAGTCCATCTAGATCTGAGGATAAGTAGGAGGAACTTGATGACGCCGCTTGTGAATTGGATGTGGCTGAGGATATTTGTTTCTTATTTTTATTCTTCCAAGAGTTCAGTACTTTGTTCGGATCGTCACCGTGCTTGTAAGCGTCAATGAATTCCTGATTGTCATTCGTGTCGTCATATTCGTCTTCGTTTTCCTCATCATCATTGTCCTCGTCATCGCCCATATTGCCCGAATTGAATTCATGCGTACTTGTGGGCAATTCCATTGAAGTGTCCATATCTTCTTCAATGTCTAATTGTTCGAGGTCTTTTAGTGAAGCGAACTCACCATAACTATTGTCATTTTGTGGTCGCTCTGGTCGTGGTAATTTCCTACCTCGCTGTGAGAGTAAACTGTCTAATGCGCTCTTTGAAAGACTGCGTGTCGAGCCCATTGAGTTGTCAAGCGCATCGCCGAATGTATCAAAAGGGTCTAGTCCCTTAGATGCGCCACCAACCTTACGACGGCGCATAGGCGCAGCTGAAGGTAGTGAGGGAGATTTGGGTGTTTGGTCAACATGGGTCGGACGGTATTTTTTGGATTTGCCTTTGGGAATTTTGGAATGGTTGGGTGTTGATGGGGTTTGGTAAAGTGTGACGTGATTTATTAAGAAATGAAAATGCGTATCGTAATGTTGAGAAGGGGAAGGAAACAAAAAAGACAAAGAAAAATAAAAAAGAAAATTAATTTTAAAAAAAGTGTAAATAAAAATATTAAATAATTATTTTTAAATGGTTTAGCTTCAAATACAATGAATAACACGCATTTTTTAGCGTAAAAATTAATAAATGTATTTATTCTGATGAATTTTTCTTATGAATTAAAACATTGAAAGCATATTTATTTACACAAATTAAGCTAAACAATAAACTAAACTAAGCAAAGTAAGCAATAAAACTAAATATAAAAGGCGAGCTGGTCATGAGGGAGGAAAGCTAAAGCTAGTTTCAGGGGTGATACTTTTACTCAAATGAAAATGAAACTGGTGCGAGCTTGACTGCTTGGGCATTAGTTTTAGTCACAACTGAGATCCCACCTCCTGATCTAAAAGAGAGGGAGAAATCCACAGCAGACAAATGACTCAGAGGTGAAAAAGATGGGTTTCATCCTTTAATGTTGAAAGAGTAGATGACGCTTGCTTTTTTAAGCAGTCGTAGCGTACTCATACCAATAAAGATCCGCACATGAAGATTTACAGATTTTATAAGAATTTAACCTAACGCACGGGCAGTAAGTCTCTTATGAAGGACCAGTTAAGGATCATGCTAATATTACTAAAGAGAGCACGAAGCAACCAAACAAATGTTTGTACGTAGAAATATAGAGAGATCCTCTCCGAATTCTCTTCCTGTGAATATTGACGGCGGAGACTTCGGTTGTTTTATAGAACCTCTAAGCGGATGGATGAACGGAGTTATTCCAGTAGAGAGGGAGCGCAGAAGAAGATCTCAAAATGACCTGTATTTGTGTAAGCTGCATTTGATTTCTGCATTCTGCTGTGCAATACAGTTTCGCCCACCAACACTTTCGACTTTGGACGTGTGTCGGAACACATCGGACGTTACACCAGCACACCGCAAAATAACAGCAATGCAAAAGGTTTGGCTTCTTTTGCGGTGCCCAAAGAGAAATTTACACTGCAACCACAAATATGTTTTGATTCTGTAACTACATTGAAATTCTTCCATGGTTTAGGTGTAATACTAAATTCCAGCACAAGAAAGACATGTCTTCAATGTTCTTGACGTGCGTACACTCCTAAGACCCAATATCGACTAGGACCACTAGGAAAGTTCCGTGCACTCCTGCTCTCTGAGAGTACTGATCAGCAGTTCAATATAAGGGAACTGCTGGACGGAGTTTCTAGCTGCATAAGTACAGTTGGCGTCACGGTATCCGCATGCTAGGCATTGCGTCCTGCCATTCGTAAGTCTCGGGTTCAAATCTTGGTGTCGTACTAACATCCAAAAAGTTAATTTAAAATAAAAAATTAAGCTAAATATCTCCGTCATCAAACAAACAGTCGTGGATGACAGTCGTAACTTTGAAGTCGTAGATAATTTTGTCCATCTTGGAACCAGTATTAACATCAATAATGTCAGCCTGGAAATCCAACGCAGAATCACTCTTCCCACTACTTTGGATTCAATTGAAAATTAAAGTCTTCTCGCGACGCTCGAAAATCTAACTCTACAAATCGCTCATCGTTTCCGTTCTGCTATATGGAGCGGGGGCATGGACGATGACAACGTCTGATGAGTCGGAGCTAGTAGTTTTCGGTGAGAAAGGTTTTGCGTAAGATTTACGATACGAGTTGGGAACGGCGAATGATGGGCTGTACGAGATATACGGCGCCATTGACATAGTTCAGCGTTTCAGGAAATAGCGGCTGCGCTGGCTAGGTCTTGTGGTCCGGATGGATATGAACACAACACAACCAGCTTTGTTATTTTACGATGCAGTACCCGAGAAAGAGGAAGACCACCACCCCGTTGGAAAGACTAGGTACAGACCGCATGAATTCCGATCGGACAATCTCTGTTCATAGCCCCCACTACACAAACTAAAGTTACGGTTTTAAATGTGTAAAAAACTCTTTAACCTTAACCCGACCACTGAGGTCGACACCAATATAAAGAATTCTATAACTTCCAAGACTTTAAGTGAGGAGGTTCCAGCGCTGGAGCTGGACATGCATCCCTTTTTTTCTCATGGCAATCTAGGTTTGGCATATAAATCGTATTCGAACTTTTAAAATTATGGAGTTCTCTCGCCAAGGTGGCTTCAGAAAAAAATTTCGATTTCCTTATCTTCGACTGATCTTTAGTCTTCCTTAACAAACCGGGGAATCCCTCAAGAGTGGAAATAGGGACGTAGGTTTGCCAAGCTCATAGATGGCGTGGGATCCCATTTCAATATTTCAAAACGCTGAAAGCTCATAGCTAATGGTTAGATTTATACAGATAGGAAAACAGAAAGCGTTATAACTTAAATTTAAAAATACATAAATAAATAAATAAATAAATTAACTAATTTGGCGTTTAATGATTAATTTTACTTTGGGAGAAGGCTGTTACAGGGATGATTAGTAAGTAGTCTTTTGGTAGGTAAGCACAAGGTGTTAATGTTTGAAAGCTTTAGTTGCCTTTACGTCCAATTCACAGAGCTTTTTCAAATACAACAAAAAGCTGAATTTTGTTTAGATACTAAAAGCGTTTCGCAACTTTGCATTAGTACGTACATAACGGTTAACGGTAATAGTTGTTAGCTTAATATTTACAAATACAAGTCTAAGCTAGATTAACAAGCTTACTCACCCGTTTGAACGACACGCAGACGCGCCGCTGCCTGAACGCTACCTGCAGGATTTGTGCCTACGCATTGGAACATGCCCGCGTCGGATTGCAAGAGACCGAAGATACGTAGGTTATGGCCGCCCACAAGCTGCATATACGTATTGGGTGTGATGACATCGCCATTCTTCAGCCATTGGATGAGCGGTTTCGGCTTGCCACGTATCGCGCACTCCAACTCCAGCTCCTCTTTCTCGTGCGCCGTCTTATCCTTGGGACTTTTGATGAACTTGGGCGGCACTAGCACCTGCACGGTTGCTTGCGCATCGAGCGAGTCGACCGTATTGCTAGCGCGACACTGGTAATTACCGGAATGTGTATCCTCGGCGGAGGAAATGTGCAGTGAGCCTGTGCCGATAATGGAGAATGGTGAGTCGAGATCACTGAGATCGAGTTCAGCGCCATCACGTAGCCATTTAATTTGTGGTTTCGGCAATCCATTGGCAACACAATCGAGTGTGACACTATCGCCCTCTTTCACGGTTTTCGGTGAGGGTCCGACGAGAAATGAGGGTGCCAAGCTTTCGCTACCCGCTTCTGTTAGTTTCTTGATATTCAAACTGGTTTTGCTACTCAAACGTGACACGCTACCCGACGTGACATTACAATGATAGGCGCCCCGATCGCCAACATCCACCTCGTCAATTTCCAAAGCGCCATTCGGCAGCACGACCATACGCAGTTTGTCCAACACCAGCGGCATGTCGTCTTTGATCCATTGTACAACGTGTTTGATGCCCGGTTGCAGCTGTCCAATCATGCAGCGAAAGTACGCCGTCTGACCGGGTAGTAAATATGTTTCAATGAAGTCCTGATTCAAGTCTGGCAGGCGTGCTATGGACACCACTGCGGAGCGACTGACAATCGTGCCAATGCCATCGGCGCTGAGCAGGCACTGATAAGAACCGGTGAGACCACGATTCTCTTCGACGGAGCTTATGTATAATGAACCGTTATTCAGCTGATTACGAAACGTATCGCCGACAATGCCAAGATCTTGGCCATCCGGACCACGCCAACGTATGATCGGTTGCAGCTTGTTAGACTTGCCGTTTAGTGCAAAACCACCGCATTGCAACAACACCGAATGTCCTTCCGGCACGACCACGTCCTGCGGCTCGATTTTGAAGGTGAGCACTGTGTGAGAAAGCAGCAGAAGAAGAGTAAATGTATTAGTATAAAAGTAATGTAAGGAACATCTGCATATTTAAATGACAACGAATGAATTGTGAAAAACAACAACAAAGAAAGTAAAATAAAAGAATCAGTTGCACATATGTCAGCTGCACAGGGCAGCACAGAATCATGATTTATTAATGACTTTAAGCACAGCAAGCAAAAGCATGCATGTGTGTAAACAGCTCTTGCTGGGAGGGGGGCCAACGAAACACCGACCGAAATGCAGCTTGCCTGCGGCTTCATTATGCCACTCAATGCGTACCGGCGCCAGGGTAGGAGACCACATAGGCTTGCCACTTGAGTATACACGCTCGCCGCGCAGCCTCGACGTGTGTACACAAAAGAAACCCTGACCCCAATTTTTCCATGTGCGAGTTATCCCATTTCGTCTTGTGCACACAGCAGCAGCAGCAGCGCGAAGGACGCGTACGAGAGCATGAGTGCAACTCATTTCATTGCGCTGATGGTTTTGTGGTAGTTCCTTGTTGTTGCTGTTTTGTCTACTTTGCTGTGTAAAGCGGTTGCGGCAAGCTTCGAGCCAGCGATGTAAACATGACGAAACAATTGATGCAACACGACCATGATTGCCCACTGTTGTTGTTGTTGATGCATATGCCTACATGCCTACCAGGAGTGACAGGAGTTGCAACTCCTTTAGATATTTACAAGTCCTTAACTGAAATCATTGTTAACCTTTGTTCGTTGGCAGAAGTTCGCTTTGTTCGGAACTCACTGAAGATGATTGCAGTTGACATATTTTCTGAGTGTTTCTATTAAACCGGTTCGGGTTCTACGATGGAGGTTGGGTTAATTTATGTCTACCTCTCAACGAATTCTTGTAGATTTTATACAGGCTCACAATAACAGCTTTATTCGCTGATTAGATCTACGAACCAGCGAAAATAGGATTGAATTGCGAAGAAACCCCACGTTCCTCGAGTAGTCCTTTAGTAAATTAGACCTTATAGATCCCTGGTTAAAAGAGAGATGCAGAGCCTTCTAAGATCCTATCCTGTCCCTATTCAAAAACCTCCATGTAGTCGAAATCTCTGTGAACTCTTTTTATGGGACTGAAGTTGTTGATTGCGCTATATAAGAGCTCAGGTCAAAAGTAGGACACTTATGATTTTCTTTTGCCATCCTGTTTAGAAAGAGGTCTTTATTGCCTAGGTAACCGTACCCAGAACTCTTCAAATCTGTAAGATCTAAGAGCGTGGCATCGATGTTTTCAATCGCTTAATATGAAAGCTCAGTTAAAAGCAGTAAATTAATGATTTTCTTGCCGTTCTGTTTATATCGACTCTAGAGCCGCTGTATCCTAATCCAGGAACCTTTATATAGTCGAAATCTCTATAAACTCCAATCGTGGGACTAAGGTTGTTAAGTCCTCCATATAAGAGTTCAGCCGAGAACGTAATAAGCCTATGATTTTCTCGCCATCCCAGTTAGACGGATCTTAGCGCCTAAGTATCCTTATCCAGAGGACCTCAAGTGGTCGAAATCTCTTTGATCTCAGTACGATGGACCAAAGCAGGTGAGTTTAAGATCATGGTCCATAAGGTAGAGGGGTCCCAAATTCATACCACGATCTAGTAGATATTGTCACTGCATGGACCTATAAAGGAGATCCTGCCTTCCGATCCTAAGGTTTTCTAAGTGTGCACACTTGTGGAGTGTTCGCTCTTAGGTTTTATATCTCTTGAGTAGTCTCAGAAGTACCAGCGAAGTAGTGCTCTGAGAAGTTTGTCGCTTTACAGAGTTTTATATACATTTAGACTCAAGTCAGATGCCGAAGTATACCAAATACGTATGACGGCATGAATTTCCTGCTGGGTCAATATAAAATTGCACTGGAAATACATACGTGTATAAATGTATATGTGAAAAGAAAACAATACAGCCTTTTTTCTCTACTCTCAGTTGAACTTTGCAACCCCTTAGCAAGGCCTCGTTACACAACTCATTATGCACGAGTATAAGCCCAGTTAGGCGAGAGTGCAACGAAACACTTTACATTGAAATTAGCCGCACTTCCATTTACCACTGCCAGGATGGATGAAGCGAGATGCTCAGCCGGAGGTAGAAGGTTCTCGTACCCAGCAAAAGAACTCAAACATCAACAACGATAATGTTAAGCAGGCTGTTTGAATAAGCCTCAGACGAATGGGAGTTATTCATACTGCAGACCCACACACACACACACACACACACACACACACACACATACCAACGTAGACACTGCTGGCTACTTTTCATTAAAGTCGTTAATTTAAAACTGTTGATCCCGAAGATTATGTTGCTGGTTCGGAAGCTAAAGAAAAGAATGGGGATTTACGCTTAATTAATGATTTGATGGGTAGGTAAGGAGGAAGCTGGAGCGGAATAAGCCTGGTTATCCTTTGTGGTGAAACACAGGGTTGTGATGTATTCAAGTGTAACTGATTTTGTGTCAATATCGGAATCAAAGAGCAACAATTTAAATATCAACATATGTTTATTTGTCGGAGGTCATGTAGGTGGGTGGACGAAATGAAATGTGGAGGCTTTCAAAAATAATTATTTGAAATGTATTTAAAAGTGTATTAAAGCTAAGAGCCGGGCGGATTTGGATTTTATTATTTTTTTTCCTTCGACGTCATTTAAGTAAGATGGTTTGGATGAGATGTGTGGGAAAATCATGTGATCAAGAAAACCAAAGTAGCGTACAGGATACGTATTCTCTACTAGGCCATTTATATGTGGTTCGGTGTATGAATCAGGGCCTGGGCGGATATGGAATCAGCCTTTGCTAACGGAGACCACTCCACTTCCTTTACAGATAATGAACACACTATAAAATGGAGAAGGCTCTCCTCTTGTGTTGTGAAACTATAATAACTAAAACCTTTCACGGAAGGCGAGTATAGTTTGCATTGTGAGGATAAAGTAAGCCTAATAGAAGATGCTCACTCATTCAGAGTCCATTCCCCTTTGAAAGTGTTCAAATGTCAGTACTTTCGAGTCGAAAAGGAATTCAGTCAAGCAGTACCGATTCGCTCCTTCTTCTGTTAGTCTAAGGTTTCTGGAAATGATGTGAGAGTCTCTTCAGGAGTAGATCGCCTGCGAATCTCAAGAAGTATTAGATAACAAAAGAGGTTTCTGAGAATGATGTGAGAGTCTCCTCAGGAGTAGATCGCTTGGGAACCGCCAGAAGTATTCAGATTCGCAGTTCGATTAGTAGAATTGAGTGAAGAGCGCTAATTTAACTGCTCTATAAGCGCTAAAATACGCAGTTTGAGGACAAAAGAAACCTGCGGGAAGACACACCTTCCTCTAACCTCCGTTCTATCTCTATAGATTTCCCTTCTTCAATTGTTATTGCAAGAAACAGGCGGCGAGAACTCATTCACTTTTGATCACTTCAGACACTGCATCTTTTGAAAAGTTTGAACTCAACTTGTGTTTGTTGTCAAAAAGAATATTTCGCTAGTAAGTTCTGCTGCTTAACTCTCAAGGGATCACCGTTCCATTCGTGGTGCAGTTCACTGCTCAACAGATTTCATTCGAACCATGTAGCCTTACAAAAGGCGAGGACAGGAACGAGAATTCCGTGAGCGAATTTAGAGACACACTAAGCAATAAGGTTGTTGACCTGAAAATATTGATTTGCCTTCCTCCAACTTGGTAAGTTTGGGATCTGAGCCTGCTGTCAACAGAAACTACTTGTCGAAACGCCACCACCAACCCTACCAGCCCGACTTCTCGCATCTTGGTGTGAAACAGGTTACGGCTGAGCCATTCCAATACTTCCAGAGCCAATGTACAGGCACAAGCATCCGTATACTCAGGAATTAATGCGACGACCTGAAAAATATTCATATGTTTACGTACACACCGAGCGGGAAGCGCGTACTAATTGTGGCTGCATATGAGGGCTCTGCAAAGGCCTTCATTCATTTTCTCCATTAAGTGAGAAAAATTAATAAGAATGCTTCTTCTTGGAACATTTTGTTGCCGGAAGATTTTCTAGCGAGAATCGCTGATCGGTCATTTAGTTTCTAGGCTAGTGCCTGCCATGTCGCTGGAGTCTCTTGAAACCGCCACGAAGCACAAGCGAAATGTGTTTGAGCGTCTCTTTAGAAGAAAGAATTTTAGCTCAGTAGCATGGCAGCCCTCAACTAAACTCAAACTTTCTAATTTGATACTTTAGTTTCGATGGACACATCGTGCGAATCACACATTCCACCAACAATCTGGAAGTAAGTATACTTTTCCAAGTCTTCAATAATTTAAATTACGCAAATTGTATGCAATCTTCCTTGTTGATGCGATCTCTTGACTTGAAGCTCATCGCATATTCAACAGTCTAAACATTTATTCTCCCAATTTCAGCGTATCCTCGGCAAGGCTTTAAGACCCTAGACAAACTTAATCACATAAATGAAGCATAATTTAGATTAGTCATGATGTGTTGTTGCTGTTGTTGTTGTTGTTGTTAATGCTGACCACTGGACATTGCCGTTGGACAAGAGGAGCGAGCTACGCCAGCAAACAGACAAATAAGCGCACAGGCACACATACACAGAGAGCCAGCCACACAGATGGAAAGTGCCCCGAAGAGATCAACTGACACCAACAAACAAGACGCAAAGACATACATTCATACATATAATTGTAAATTTGTATAAATGTAGGTAATCGAAGTCGGAGGTGCAGGGCAGAGTCATCTAACATGCAAAACACACACACACACACCCCTATGTAGTTGTCAGTATACATATGCTGCAACGTGTTGAGCTGATGCTTAGATATCATCGGACGTTTTAGCTTGCGACCGCTGCCACGATATACATACATACGTACGTGCATACAACTGCAGGCGTTATTGTCGCTTACTATGTGTGTGTGTGTTGTGTTGCAGCAACAGTTCGAATATGTCTGCAGTGGCAATTGCATTCGATGTGGCATGGCGTGGCGTG